CCATACAACCTAATATCTATCCTTATTTTTAATTTCCTATGTCTAATGCATCTAATTGAATAAGCATATTTTCTTTTTTATTTAAAAGAAGCTATTAAAGATTTCTAAAATTATGATCCATTTCTAAAATAAGCTTCTTCTAAAATTATGACCTATATAATCTGTATTTATGAAGACTTTAGTACTCATATTTTATGTACCTTTTTATACACCATAAAACATATATACTGTATTTATTTGCATTAGATAGGACACATGTTTTTAACTACATTAGGTGTGTACATAAGTTATTCTATAACTCCTGTAAAGAGCCCTGATTTATCCTATTAATCATGTAAGTTGTGATAAAACAAATATGCATTTACCCATAGAGCATGCTGGAAGCAGACACCGTACCCTACTGAGATACAATCACGAGATACTTGGACTGCAAGAATCATTCAATGTTTTCAAGACATCCATTGAAATTTTTAGCTCTCAGATTGCTCTGCAATCACAATTCACTTGTTAGGAAAAGGCAAATACTGCAGGCAGTCAAGGTTAATGCTTAAAGTAAGTCTGATATTCAAACTTTAGTTAATTGAGAGGTTTTATGAAAATCATTGAGCAGCTGTTTTGAGTGTGAAAATGTAACAATTTTGAGTGCAAGTACCTCTGCCAACTAAATTCAAACTATCCACTCTTCAAATATATCTGCTAATTTAAATTGAAAAGATAATGTATAAGAAGTCATGAATATCTTTACAGTAGTTTCAAGATATATTGTTTTTAATTTTTAGAAAAAGAACATTAAAGTTGAATAAGAAAAAGGAAGACATCTATGGTTAATAAATACAACCATGTATGTTATACTCTGTTTTTACAGTCAAAGACAGAAAATTTTCTAGCAAAAGAAAGAAAAATTAATCATTCAACCAAATCCATGAAAAGCACTCCAAACAAAAGGGACTCCAGTGGGAATCAAGCAGCTAAAGTAAAGTGGCAATAGCTAAAGTCCAGCGTTTTTTTCCACACTAGCAATGATAGCTAGAATATTTACTTTGGTATACCAACAGTTGCATCATTTCATTTTGATTTTTATTTAGAGTACCACATAGTCTAAATGTTCACATTCTATAGTGCACAATCATAGTAGAAAAACAGTAATGCTTTCAAAATATTGAAAAGTGAACCATTTTCTCATACCTACTATATCGTATGTGGATTGGCATGACAAAAATAATAGCTTTTACAGGTGGTAGGATTATAAAAGGGAAATTTCCAATCAAGGAAAACTCTTCATTGCAAATCTAGGAATGAGCCTCCTCTCTGTGAACAAGAAGAAGTGAAATCCTCTTACCTGTCATCCTGACATCCAAGAAAGAGCTTACAATGTCAAGACCCACGACCTCTCCCTCCTTTTCATGGTTTATTAAGCAAAAAGCCACAGCCCTTCATGGTCCCTTCTAGTTCCAACACTCTATGATTCAAATGGGGGTAATGACTCTCTTTTCTTGCTCAGTAGTCCTGGTGAGGGAATGATTTTACTGTCCTTTTGCTGTGGGGTCCTGCCAGTTTATCTAAAGGGAAATGAATTACAACAGGACGACAAGGCCACAAAATAAAGCCATTTAGTTTTACAAATCTATTATGTCCTCCAATCTATTTTATAGGCATGGTCCCATTATACACCAAGAATAAACCCTAAAACAAACTTCACCCCCATGACTCTTGGCAATGAACAATTTACAGTTTTATGACTGTCTTTCAAACAGTGTGGCCCCCTCCACCGCTCCTTTCCCCAGCACTTGCCCTTTCCCTGTGCACAAACACACAGAACACTCGGAGACCAGGAACCGGACTTTTCAAATACAATCTGCTGACAACTGTCAGAAGCATTTTCCTGGGACATTACTGACTGTGACTTCAATGAATTAAGCTTGATTCACTGTGGGTGAATCATTTTCAATGCAGAGCTGTTCAGCAGTAATTGGCCAAGATTCCCTGCTGAGAAAAGCACTTGTCAAATAATGCTTGTTTACAAATATATCTCCAGACAGCAAAAAGTGGCAGTTACTGAATAAGTTAGTAGCCAACTCCAAAAATTCATAATAGCAAATTTATTCATGAAACTCATTATTTAATTTATTAAATTCATTATTTAATCATAATGACCTCTTTATTAAATTCATTCAAAATTTCCCTTGCTGACATAGTAATACTGTCCTGCTAGGCTTCTGCTAAATATGCCTCTGAATTATATGAAAAAATTTTTGTGTATTTCACTGTAAATTAATGCTTTCTTGTCTGTATAGTCCATATGTACTTCATGCTTATAAAATAACTAAAGACATGCTTTTTTATTAATTGCTCAGAATATAATACATTTTACTATATATAATACATTTTATTCTGGTCTGCTAATACATTGAAAAATTCTAAATGAATCAGTGTCACATCAATCCAAGATTCTAGATAAGGGTTTCACTTCTGTTCAATTCTGTGTATTATTCAACGTTAAATTACAATAATGATGGGAATATCAATTCCTAGCAAATTAACCTTTACTTATCCCCCTTCAAATACATTCTTCACATAATTGGACAGTGTACATTATGTGCACAATGTGTATGTTATAGGCAAATTGCGAAATCACTAAGCAGACTTGTAGGTTGTGGAAAGCAAATTGTATAAGAGCAAGCTATTCATGAATTTATGATGTGCATCAAATCTTTCTAAGTCTAACCCTACAAAGTTCTTCCAGAAACAAAATGAAAAATTCTAACCTCAATTGCTAACTAAATAAAAGATTCCATTTATGAATGTTTCAATGTTTTGCCGCTCTGTAACAGCACTAGAATGGAAAACCAAAAGAGTAATGGAAATTTCATAGAACCAAAATAACATTGCACAGAAATATGGGGCATCGTCGGGGCAGGGTTTTGTCAATTAGAGGAATCAGGCCATAGTAGGGATATTTTATTTCAAACTCTGTATAACGGTTTATGCCACAAACTATGCCCCAAATAGCAGGCATACTTGTATCCCTGTGTCTTCCAGCCCGGGATGGTTAAGGGTGCTCATTTCCGGATGGGTCCCCTGAAGGCCCCACCTCTGCACCCAAGTTTTGCAGTGTGTCCCTTTAGCTGGGTGAAACCTAAACCTGTGGGTGGCACATCTACTGGCAGTCCCTCTCTGTTCCACAGGATTCCAGCTTCCTTTGCAAACCTTCGCAGACCAGGCGCTGTTTCCCATCTTCTTCCTGCCTCCTGCCTGTTTTCCTCCCCTTGGGTCCTGCCTGGCTCTCCCTGGGCATCAACCTCCCCTCGAACTCGCCTCTTTCTGCTCCCAATCTAGAGCCTCCACGCTACCTCAGCTCCCCTCCCCCACCATGCATGGAGAAAAGACTTAAAATCAGAACAGAAAGGAAGGAGGGTAAATGAATTGCGATTAAATCTATCAAGTCCTACCAAGATATCCCTTTAGGTGGAAAAAGACAGTTCAAAGGGACCCCCAGCCTTGCTGCAATTCTTGTACTTCTAATCGAAGGCTGCTGAAATAACGCATAAAAAAAAAAAAAAAAAAAAAAAAAAAAAAAAAAAAAAAAAAAAAAAAGGCTCACGACCTCTAGAAAACACTTCTTCAACTTTATCTGGGAGGGAAAATACCCATCACTTGGCTGAAGCACGAAAGGCGGCATGTTGCAGGCACACACACCACCCGAAGAGATAACCGAAGAGATGGAGAGCTCCGCGAAGGGCCGCTGGCCGGGGAACCGGAGCGTCCATCCGCCCCGCTCCCCAGGTCCCTGGGGCGCTGGTGCCGCGCCGCGATCCCCACGGGCAGGGAAGCGGGGACCAAGCCGCGCAGTCAGAGCACGCGCGACTCCTCCGCTGCCGACAGTCTCCCCGCTCTCCCTCTGCTTCCCCGGGGTAGAAGAATTTCTCCCAGGTTCAGCTCTTTCCGCATCGCATCCGCCGCCCCAACCCCAGCCCTGCAGTCCCAGCCCAGGACAAGGGCTCTCCAGCTCCGGAGCTTCTGGATCTGTCCGCGCCACCAAGCTGTCCCCGCCCACGCCCCCACTTCCCACGGGGAACGCGCCCGGGAGCAGGCGGAGGGGGGCGCGCCCGACTAGGGTTCGGGGGCCCAGGGGACTCTGGGGACTCAGGGACCTGGACTGGTGAAGAGGATGGAGTGAGCGTCGGAGGACCGAGACCGCGGGGAACTCGGAGCACACAGGTGTTGCTCCGCCCCCCGCCCCACTCTCCCAGAGCGAGGCAGGTGCCCTTCGGGGTCCAGAGCGCAGAACTGAGGGCAGAGCGGAGGGCTGGGTGGCCCAAGAATGGGGCCAGCTAGCCCATGTCCTGTCCCTTTCCCTGGCGAGCTCTGGCGAGAGTCGGCAACTTCCTAACAGCTACACTCGCTTCTCCGCGCTGCCTCCCGCACCTTCTTGCCCTCTGCCACCTTACGAGGGTGACAGCGAGCACTCAGCCCTAGCAAAGGGCAATCACTGTGGGGGCGCCTCCAGTTCATCTCCTTTTCTCCCGACAAGTCAAAGCTCTGGCCACCCACCTCAGAATAGCAGCTGGTAAAGCCCTAAATAACAGCTCCGGGCAGGAAGCCCACTCCCCCCAAAATCACCAGCCACCTCAGCAATGCTTCCCATCAGAGCATCCAATGACAGCTCCTAAGGGCTCCGTGGGTTGATTCTGAGATGCCCCTCGCTGCTCCCACGGCCCCGAAATGTTACTTCCCGGCCCCACCCAGCCTCCCGGCGTGGGTCCCAGATCCTTCTCCATCCTGCCTTCCAACTTCCCAGCCCCCAACCAATCTGGGTCCTAACGCAGGTGCGGCGCCCAACACCCTGCGGCTCAGGTTGAACAATGCAACCCAAGAGGTCAGAGAGGGAAGTAAAGGCCAGCGAAGGCGGACACTGGACCCCGATGGAGACAGGAGTGGGCGCCTGGTCGCGCTCCCCGCCCTGCCTAGCCTGCGGAGGCCCCGGCCCCGTCCCCGCCTACCTTCGCTGCTGGGGCTGGCGAGCAGCGTCCGCAGCGCGGCGCACAGCACCAGGCACGTCCAGAGCGGGGCTCTGCGTGGCGGACAGCAGCAGCCGGCCGGCGACGCGGGAGTGCGGGCCGGGGGCCGCCGGCGTCCCGCACCCCGGGGCCCGGAGCCCCGCATCTTCTCTTGCCCTCTGCGGCCCCGCGCGGCTCAGTCCCAGCTCCGGCCTCGCAGAAAAGCCAGGGAGAGCTCCGCGGGGTCCTGCGCCCCGCACGCGGTGCCTCCGAGTGGGGACCGCGGGTCCCCGCGCTGGCTGAAGTTTGCTTCGCTCCTCCGGAGGACCTGGGTGCGATTCTAGCGGGCGGCGGAGGCAGCTGTGAGGGGCGCGACCGCGGAGTCCAGAGTCCGCGTCCGGGTCCTTTGCCGCTTCAGACTTTTCACGGGTCGCGAGGTGTAAATGTCCCTGGGGCGGGAAGGGGAGCGATAAAGGCTCCTTTTCAGTCTCCTTGTCGCCTACACGGGCGAGGGCAGGAAGACAAGTCACCCGAAGTCCAGATGAAACGTGCAACAGAAGGAGGAGGAAAAAGCCGACTGCGGTCGAGGAGTTGGAAACCCGCGCGCTGGGGACTGGGGCGAGGCGGGGCGCGGCGAGTTCGGAGCCCGCGAGCGGAGACTGCGGGCTGCGAGGGGCCGGGCGGGCCGGGCGGACGCGGATCCCTGCGCAGCGCCTCGGCCCGGCGAGGAGGAGCTCGCCGCCACGCGCACTCCTGCGGCTCTAGGCTCCGCGGCGTCTGCTGCGCGCCGCTCCGCTCAGCTCCGCGCCGCCAGCCTCCTCCGCCTCCTGCTCCCGCCTCCTCCCCTCCTCCTCCTCCCCGTCCTCGCCCTCGCGTCCCCTCCTCCTGCTCGCACTTCCTCCTCCTCCTCCTCCAGTCCCCGCCCCGGCGGCGATCGCGGGTGAAAACCCTCAGTCTGCGCGGCCGCTCGCGCGGGTCCGGGCCCAGCCGAGAAGTCGCCCGCCCGCGGCTGCCGGGAAGCCGAGCCCAGCGCGTCCTCCCCGGACGCCGGGACGCGGACCCTCCGGAGGACGCTCACGAAGGCCCAAGGGAAGCCCAAGCGGCTCCGCGCAGCCGGGGAAAGAGGTTGGCCTGGCTGGTCTCGTGCTGCCCCTCGCGACATTGTCGTCACCGCGCCACGCGCCTGGGCCAGATGCTCCGCGGCCAGTTTCTTAACACCCACGTCGCTCCCTGCTGCTGACCCCTCGGTGCTTCCAGTGCTCGGGCGGCTGAAGTGGGATAACTACTCAGCGGTTGCTTCGGAAGTCAACTGTAGGATACCTAAATATAGAAGCAGCAGGTCTGAGATTTCCAGGAGCCAAAGAATTTGGTTATGCAGATTTGTTCTGTGCCGGGTATTTGGGGTGGTCATGCTTTATTTCAGCCATTTCATTAATACAATATTATAGCGTTGTAGAAAATATATAACACGCAAACACATGTAGTTAATTCCAGTAAAATAAGCATGGTCCAGCAATTTCAAATGATTTTTAATGACTTTAATGCTCCTGCAGAAGCACATGCAGAGAAAATAAGTAGGAGAGAAATAGTGTAAGAGGAGTCTGTGCTTCTCTTGTATTATGCCTTCCTCTGCTTTAATATTTTCCCTCAATTTATTCAATACATCTTTTCAAAGGGATACTTCTGAAGGGCAATTGTAGTACACTGGCATTCTTTTTAAGACTAAGACAAAAAGCGTGATTTTAGAGGAAATATCTCGTTTAATGTGGGGTATCGTAATCACTGCCACGATTGGATTTTCTTACTGAAGTGAGCCTGTTCACCAGCCTTGCCTTAAGAACAACACTCCTGTTTGGCTGTACAATAGATTTATCACAATCTCTAGCTGATGACTTTCGTTATTTTTTTGTGCAGATATTTCAATAAAAATAAAAGAACAGAACAGCAGGGATGCAATTTTGTAGAGGTGGAATTTGATCTTTGATTTGTACCCTTAACCCTCCCCCCAAATATTTTGGCACCCAGAGTCTGAAAGCAGCTTCATTCTATTATAATAAGCTGCAAATGCTTGAAGCAATTTGAGAAAAATAGCAGTGAGTCAGTCTTTCAGTTTGGCAGAAAACTTCCCAGTGAGATGAAAAGTTAAAATTTATGTTTCTATTTGAAGACCATTCAACACGTAAATCTCTACCCTCCTCGCCCCCGTTTTCAGTTGAGTTACTTAATTTCTAAGCAGGACATGAACTAAGCCAAGGAATACAGAGTGCCTCTTGTATTGAACATAGTTTGATGAAACTCTGAGATAGTTGAATTATTTCCGCAGACCTCAGTATCCTCACCAGTAAGATCAGGGATTTGGAGAAAATGATTTAGAGAAAAAGGTCCCTGCTCTTCCATATTCTTTACATTTCCATGTTACTGTCCTGCTTATCAATCTCAGATTATATAGTATTGATTTCAAAATAATCAGATTTCTTCAGCCTAGAATTGTAAGCCTTCTACTACAAAGAGCTCAGACAAATTCTTTTTAATTTCTACTAAAAGTTTTTGTATTTAGTTTTCCTGCCCTTGCATTCTACAGAAATTCTACTATCTCCAAAATAGTATCCCCCGAACACACACACCAATTTCCTCAAAATGCTGCCCCAGCATTCAAGAGTCAAATAGTTAAGTATGATTCTGCATTTTCACTGCAAGGAATGACTTGCTTTTGGTATTTTTTGATTTTGTTTTTTTGGGGGGTTATTTGTAGCTTGTGATTTATGTGATTGACACAATTCCAGTATTTCCTGAACATAAAGTTGGAAGTGAAGCCATAGGCATATATAAAAGAACAAAAGGAATTCAGACCAAGTAGCAGCTATGAAATAGTTATTTAATACTATTTTTACCTATATTTGCAAAAAGGAACAGGTATAAAATTAAGCTCCAGTAACTTTTTTTTTTTTTTTTTTTTTTTTTGTGTAAACAAGATTCATCAGAGAGGACAATGTCGATGGTTGGTTTGGACCTCAATTTCAAAAGAGCTTACATCTAACTGTGTTGAAATGTGTTGCTTTCTTGGCATGGATGCTCTTACAACGCCTAGGGCCACCGTGCTGCATGAGAACTGGACTTGATTGTTCCATCTCTAATGCTGTCCACCTCGAGATCTGTGACATAAGTATTGGCTTGTATGTCCTATGGTATGTACTTCTCAGTGGCTGCGGTGGCCTCGAAAGGTCAAAGTAGTTGATGCCTCCTAGATCTGTTCTTGTATCTGACTTAAATCTGAAGTTGTCAGGGAAGATATTAAGAGTAGTCTTGATACTATCCTTGTGAAAGGATTAATTCTGTAATTAAGTTCAATGTGTTAATCAGCCTGAATATGTTTTCTGTACATTCAAAATGAGAGCAATCTTGGTGGAAATACTTGTATTAACAGAAGGTTTGCTACATGTAAAATATTGTGTGATGTTTGTACACTCATCATTTTGCACAACTCTGACACTTCGAAGACGATGTGCTTGTACTTATTAGCCTCATGCTAGCAAGGGGAAAATTGAGATTAGGTGACTGGGACAGTCACTCAGCTTCCAAAACACAGAAACTTTAACTCAAGGCATTACCACTACGGAAGAACTTCTAGTGTAACAACATAAAGAATAAGTCTGACTACCAGTTCATCAGAAAAATAAAAATGAATGCCCCCAAATTCTACATTAATGGGAGCATTGAATAGATGACAATATTCCAATCTTCAGATTCACTTAAATCCAAACACTGTAAAACAATATAATATAGATCAGATAAATGAACAGGGGCAAACAAGAATCTAAATGTCATAAAGAAGCATTCAGTAAAGAAGAAGACTGAGGCACACAAAAATAGGCACACAGATTTTTTGTTTGTTTGTTTACGATGGAGATACTGGCCCCAAACATAAAAATGACATGTCTAAGTCAGGTAGTATTGATACACATAGCTAATTCCACCCATATACCATGGTAGGAAACTTGACCAACAGCCTTTTACACTGCTTGTCATTCTTTTAAATCATTAGTTACATTCATTCTTTTTCTTTATGTATTTAGTAAGGGTCTACAGGGTCTCAATACATTCATCAGACTCATAGTGATTCTCCTATTTTCAGCCTCCCAAGAGCTGGGATTACAGGCACATACCACCACGCCCAGTCTCAGTTGCCATCTTAATTTGGTAAAAACAAAACCAAAGCAAAATAAATTATAAATATACCCAATGAAATTATAGAACACTCTCATGATTATGGTTTTTCAAGTCCATGATCTGCTGAAGAGGATATAGATAGAATAGAGATGCAAAGTATTTTGATCCCAAAGGGAATGTTGACAATAAATTTAAGTGATCAATACCCCTTGAAGTTCACAAACCTAAACATTTTTAGGTTTCAGGATGCTCTTTAATACAACTAATGTAGAACACAAAATATCTTAATCTTTGTTATGTGTTTGTTTTTAAACCTTTTTCCTCTCATGACTGAAATTTCTGCCCCTTAATGGATGATTAAATTTTATTTATAGTTGATTGCTTATCAGTTGGTTGTTTAAAATGTAGTGCATAATAGCATTTTAATAAAACAAAATTAAGTGTATGTGTTATTTTCTTAAAAATGATGTAATACTCAATAGAAACTTCATTTATTGAACACACATGTCCTGATCTGCAGTCACCTTTCCTTTTCTGTGACTAGGGAGAAACAGTTGTTTATAAGGAGTTCCATAGCACAGGAGAAGATGTTCAGATAAATGACAGGGAGCCTGGGAGCACAGTGGTTCTCGGCTGCTGCAGGCCGTTCGCTCTCTAATCACTCCTGTTGCTGTGCACTAGGATTATAGCCCCTGCAGCACAGCTAGAAAGCACGGCTGCTGGAGTTGATGATGAACGGCAGTGACTTGCTAGGGAGTTCTGTGGTGGCTGTTTGCCTCCAGCGTCTTGGACAGGTGACATCATATAAAACTGCGTACTCTGAAATAATAAGGACTCTTGAGGCTAGAGAAGGGTGAGCAGTGCACAAAGCATTCAAAATAGTGAAGGGATCCGACTGTGAGGTTAAAATGCCCCTTGATTCTAACCCAACTTCTGTACTCCAAAACCATGTGCCACTGTGTGAAAAAACAAGCTGTAGTCCTTTTCATATTTAGAAGGCAGTTT